TATATTTGCCTTTTATTACTAAATATCCCTGTTCCTTATTTTTTACTTAACTTAATTACAGTTTCAGACTTATTAATCACAATTTTGACTATCATTTTTGACGTATCTTTCACTTTATTGTAAATTATAAGGGGATTTAATGAAAAAAGAAATAATTAAAGCGAGGAAAAAAAACTACTAAGAAATAAAGTATAATTTACCCTCAATTTATTTTATTCTAATCTAACCCAATAGGCCGGCTACTCAAGAATAATTCGGGGAACTTGAACCGAGATTTGGGAGAGCTAAAATAAATTTATGGAATAAATAAAATATATAATATTATATTATTTTGAAGCAATTCATAATTAAAATAACCATCAAAATATTATTTTAACTTACAAGACTTGCAATAAATATATACTTGTTTATTAAAAAAAATCGAGGGAGCCACGATTTTATCCCGTCATTATGAAGCTTCACTTCTGCTATTGATACAAAATATTTTACACCAATAAAAATTTTAAAAAAATTATAGTTGATATATTTTTGAAAATAATTATTATAAATTTAATGAATTTATTAATATATATATATATATATAATGGTTTTTAATTGAATTAAAATATATAAAAAAATCATACCGTCAGTAAATATATTATTTATTATTGATAATGTAAATTTCCCTTTATATAAAGAGTGTGATTTTTATTATCGTTTTCTATTTCAATAATTGTCATCCTATTTATTTGCTAATCCCTTTCCTCTCTAGTCTCTACTCTTAGTTGTCTTAGACGTATAGGAGTACACATGTAACAGTAATTGGGTTTGGGCTTAGATGGCCCATAAAAATGGACTGAACCATTTTTCATTCATTTTGGTTATTACATTCCAAAATTGTGCTTAATTCGTAAATGATTTGGATAAAGTAGACATGTGATTCATGAATTAGCAAAACAATTACTAGAGTCAGCAAAACAATTAAGACAAACACATTACTAATAAGTTGTTGGTTCGATTACTACGAATTCGATATCTTTAAATAAAATCTCCAATTTTAAAATAAAATAAAACAAAAACAAAACATATGACTATAATATTAATAATGATATATACTTAAAAGACCAATCAATAATAAGTAGTTAAATTAAAAACTTTATTTAATATTTTAAAGGTTATTTATTTTTTTTAGTTTAAATAAGTAAATCAAAATGGTGCTCATATATACTCCTTTAGTCTAATAATTTTTTTTGAAGGACTTTAAGTTGTAATTATAAGCAACAAAAAATATATTTGTTAGCTTCAAGCATGAGCAAATCTCAACAAAATTTACTCTATATAATATTAAAATTTCTAAAGTACCCCTCTATTCAATTGAAATTATATATCTAATAAATAATTTTTTAATTCTTAATATCAAGTTTCAAGAAAGAATAAAATTAAGACTATTAAGTTATTTTTTAAAATAAAAATAATACAATTAAATGATATTAATTCATTTTTTTTTGAATTTTTTTAACTTATATTTATAATTAGAAGGAATGAGTACGTTATTATTTACTTCACAAAAAAAGAAAAAAAGAAGATAAAGGATAAAACCCCCCATATACGTTAGAATCGACATTGAAAATTTCAAGAGCACACAATTATGGATAATGAAAGTTTGGGACCTAAGAGTGAGTCAAGATTTGATGAAGAAGGGAGAACCACAAAACTAAGATTTGGGGTCCAATTGTAGATACTAGTCAATTTACGGAGACTCACTCAACGTTCATAGTCATGAGACTAGCTACCTGATTTCATTTCTCATCATGGGAATATTTTATATTTCTCCATTGTTTTTTTTTTCCTATTATTATTATTTTGCTATATAACAAATACTTTAATCCGTATTTATTTATTTATTTATTAGAATCATGCCATGATCACACTCATACATTAATTTCTTAATTAATGTTATTCGTTTTTCGTCTTAATTAATAAGACACTGGTTTGTTAATTAGAAATCTCCTTATAATATCTTGTAGTAGTTTATTTAATTAAATAATATGAAAATTAGTATTTTAGTTTGTGTAATAAATACTTTATATATGTAAATAAATATTATATTTAAATATATAAACTATATTTAAAATTAGTATATATAAATATTTTTAAACGTATAAATTATATTTTAGATTTATAATAAATAATTTTTATTTAACAAAAAAATTATTTTTATTGATCGATAATTTAATACAAAATATTAATATTTAATTAATAAATAATTATAATAAATAAAAGTTGAATTATATAAGAAGTTAAAAAAATTCTTACAAATCCTCTTATCAAAGAAAAGTCTTTAAAAACTTTTTTACACACAATAGAAGTTTTTATTTAATATATAGGAGTTGAGAGAAATTGATTTTATATTGTCATGAAACAATTACTGTGTATCGTAACTTTATTAATTTTTAAAAATTATTTTAAATTTGTATAAAAAATATTTTCTTATTTCAATTGGTTAACTTTTTAAAATTTTTATATTAATCATATGTCTATTAAACTCAAACATATTATGAAACTAGCAATTTATTTAAATTGAGGGAAATTATTGACATAGATACTTTAACACAATTTCCATTATTAGTTAAAATGTATTGTGAATCATAAAATTACATCGTAATTTTTTTTGTCATAATTATAAGTATAATTTATTAAATAAAAGTCAGATGAACATCATTTCAAAATTTTAATAAATTTATTTAATAATAAGAATATAGTTAAATAGTGTATTATTATTCTCCAAAATTAACCTATTTTTATCAAAGTAATTATTTTTGCATTTATTTTATATAACAATATCAGCATTTAGAATTAAATTATTTTCAAACTTGCACTCATAATTCGAACCAAAAAATAGTTATCCAGAATATCTTGAAAAACGAAATAATATTTTTAAATCTTATATAACACTTGATATTTATATATATATTTTAGTTCATATTAATCATTAAAATAAAGTAATGTAATGAATTACTAGTTTTTTAATTGTATAAAATTTTGTATATTTAATCTAATTAATAAAAACTTAAAACATAACCATTTAATCGGTTAAATTTATATTCTATAAAATGTTATTAAATGTGTAATTTAACTAGTTTTGATATTTGATATCAATGGGACTGTTCATATATATATAATTAAAATAAATATATAAAAAAGTGTTATTGAAAATATTATATATGTAGATATAAGTCTATTTAACATATAATTATATATAATTTTAATGTTGATTTTTGAATAAAATTCAATATATATTGTGTGTTATTATAATTTATATCTACAATTTTTTAATAATATAGTAATATATATTATATTTATTATGTATCATTATATGATAATTTTTTTAATAATTATATATATATGTATAAAGAGAATGAAAGACTTTATAATCATAGAAAAAATGTTAAAAAAACATTAAAAATAATACAACACAGAAGAAAATGAGTGTAATCCATAATTTAATATCGTAATAAATATAATATGGCCTACCATCTCTTTCGTGGATGTATTTTAGTTGGGGTAGCTCTCTCTTTAATTAGCAATTGTTTAGAATTTATACGCAAACATGCATTCTTGCTTTCGAGATAATAAGAACTACTCTTCCTCCAAAGAGTACTTTGGTTTCTTTCTACACAAACGGGTTTGATATATATATATATATATATATATATAAATATATATAAACTATTCTTCCTTCCTTTTTCTCTTTCTAAAGTGCAAAGTTAATACCATAATGGAGAGAAAATTGCAATGGATTCTGGTTTTAGCAGTTTGTGCTTCATCACTCATTCATATTGTTGCAGAGAACAATGAAGGGGCTCACAGGAACCTTGCTAATATTGATTATTCAGGTATGGATTCAATCCCATTTTTTGTTTTTTTAATTTTGTAATTCAAAAAATTTTTGACCAAATATTTTTCATCGAAACACATAACTATATAAAAGTACTGTTTTTGTCACTATAGCAAAAAAAAATAAAAATATTGTTTCTTTCTCTCTCTAACAATTTAACTCCTTGAATTGCTATGATTATGTAATATTAAAACAAAATAACATGATCAGTTTGTACAATTTCAATTCTTGTTAACACGCACTTTTTCTATTAAGGGTGATGCTTAAATGTTTTGTTGATTTTGATTAAGACGAGGTTTGTTATGTACAAAATATTAATACGAAGTATTTAAAATGGAATCCATGTATAATTATTAATTTTGAAAAGGTAAAAAAAAAAAAAACCAGAAGTAATGGCTCCGATAGAGGATTTTTTTTTTACATTTTTAAATGTTTTAGGTTAAATGGAGAATATTCAAATGAAGCCAAAATTTATATTTGTACTCAAATTTTATTAAACTATTCAATATGGTTAGATTATTTAATGCAAGCCAAACCATTAAGGTGACTATAGTAGTGGAAAGAAGTTAGGATAATATGCATAAAGTTCTATGCTTAAATTATGTTGAAATTATTATAATTTTTACTAATAAAAAAATTTATTTAATGCAATTAATTTAGTTTAACTCATGTTATGTTATTATCTAGAAGTGTCAAAATTAGTTCAATTTGTCCCATGACAGACTTGTCCCATGGAGTTAGACACTTTATTTTTAGGTTTGAAAAAAAAATGAATTAATTTGACCTAGCATAGTTGACTCGAACTAGTAAAAATTAGACTTATTTGATCTTGACATTTTTTTTTCTTTTCTTTTAAATTATATATAAATATCATTAAAATAAATAAAATGACATAATTTGACTTGATCCAATGTACTATGTTGAAGAAGAAAAAAACATGTAAAAATTAAGTTGAGTCTATTTTTCATATTTGACTTGATGAACTAAGTTACATTGATGATTGACCCATTTAACATAGTTATATTGCTCTTAATAAAACAAAAATTAATTTATCAAACTTCATCAAGTCAAATCTCAAAAAAAAAAAATGTATCTCTAATTACTAAAGGAAATTATGCAGTCCAAATAACATTTTCCTATCATTTATTAATACTAAGTATATCATAAAAGTGAGCCTTATAAACTTAATACAATCAAGTCATGTGTAAACGTAGGTGTATATACTCTAATTATTTTCTTGAATTATCGTAATTTGTAGGTGTTATAAGCATTGATTGTGGGGTAAACGAGGGCTACACTGACAAGACGACCAACTTACAATATGAAGCAGATGATATCCAATTTGGTGAAATTTATAACATATCCTCCATTTACAATTTTAACTATGTAACTCAGATTCAAAAGCAGCTCAACACATTGAGAAGTTTTCCTAATGGAAAAAGGAACTGCTATACTATGACTCCAAAACAGGGAAAGAACAAGAAGTATATTATCAGGGCTTACTTTGCATATGGAAACTATGACAACAAAAATAAACCACCAATTTTCGATTTATATATTGGTGTCAATATCTTCAAGACAATAAACTTCACTGAGGTTGATAAGGTTATCCGAATCGAAGCTATTCATTTTGCCTCAATAGACACAATAGATTTCTGTCTTGTAAACATCGACCAAGGGGTACCTTTCATTTCATTATTGGAACTGTGGCCTTTAGACAATTCTATTTATCAAACTTCGTCCACTTTATTAACATTGGATCTCCTCACACGAATTAACCTTGGTGCGTCTGAAGATAACAATTCCTTCATCAGGTGACTTGGCTTAAATTATGTAACAAATTTTATTTCCAATAGCAATATACTTTTATTTTAACATAAACATTATTGGTTGGAACAATTTGTGTAAGTTAGGTACACGGATGACATATATGGAAGGTCTTGGGAAGTACAAAATAATTACTATAACGTTTCAATTAATACATCATCAGCTATTGATGTGGATAAACTCATCGATCCATACAAACTACCTACAGAAGTTTTGAGCACTGGAGTGGAGATGTTAAAGTCCGGTTCATTGGAATTCACACTAAACTATGGCACAAATTCTGAGTATTATGTGTATCTTCATTTTTTTGACTTTGAGGATAGGGCAAGTAAACAAAAACGGATATTGAATATCATTATTAATGGTTTTGATGATGCTGTTAGTGTCACACAATCCCTTACACTTCCATACTGGAAACCCAAGAGCATAATTCTACCTATAAAACAAGGGAAAGGCATTTTTAAGATATTGATTGAAGCCACCTCTGATTCTGACTTACCTGCCATGCTTAATGCTCTTGAGATATACAGAGTAATACCTCAGTCTGATTCTGCCACTCAACAAGAGGATGGTAGGTTTCTTTAGTTTAATTTCTTTCTTGAGTTGTTAAAGAATCACTATGGTTAATTAATTGAGTACATAATAGCCTTTAAATATTTAGAGTACTTAATAATGAAGTATCACATCTTTATTTTTATTTATAAAAATGTGAAATCCTTGTTCTATTTTTCTCATGTATTCCTTTATTCTCCTCCTTTTTTTTTTTTTAATAATGCATTCTCATAAATCATGTGCTCACCTGGAAATTTTTTTATTTCCAAAATTCGTAATCTGAATCCTTTTCTGATATTATGGTTGCTACTGAATATTAACAACAGTTGATGCTATCTGGCACATAAAAGATTTTTATAAGATCTCTAAAATGAATTGGCAAGGAGATCCCTGTGAACCAAATAGTTTTACATGGGAAGGTGTAATTTGCAGCAATGGGGACACTCCAAGAATCATTTCATTGTAAGTATTGATATTCTCCTAATATCCATGATTATTTGTACTGCATTGGTTGCTAATAATTGAATATAGACGTCATTCCAAAGAATTTAATGGCAAAATGAAATAATTTTAATGAATGTAACATTGTTCATATCATCCATCTTTATCTTTTATTTTTAATGGGAAAATTTCCATTTTTCATCAAATTCAAGCAGAAACTTGAGCTCAAGCAAGTTGTTAGGTGGAATAGATGTCTCATTCTCCAACCTCACATATTTGGAGACTTTGTAAGTTTTTTCTGTTAATTTTTATAGAAATTTGTATTTCAATATCAATACTAAAGCACTATAGTCTTGACATTACATATATTGTGAAGAACTTAAGTTGTCAATATCAAAACCAAAACAATAACTATTATGTTGTAGGGATTTGTCAAACAATGAATTGACAGGGGAGGTGCCAGAACTTTTTGCAAAACTGCCACAATTAAAGATCCTGTAAGTTGTGACAATTGAACATTGCCACAAGAAACTTTCAATGTCACGCACTCTCCTAATATATTTAACACATCACACCATCTTTGCAGTAATTTGTCAAGGAATATGCTCACAGGTTCCATTCCTGAGAGTCTAAAGGCAAAGTCATCAAACAAATCTTTGCAATTGAGGTTTGCTTCTAGGCTATAGCTACACATAAATTTGTTGCAATAATATTAAAAAAGTCTCAAAGATACAAATAACTGAATAAGACTTTGTTAACTCCTTTGTTGTACTATAGTACTCCTCACCCCCATTTCAGAATTCTTCAATTATAAACTATCTTATGATAATTGACACTTGCGTGAATTACAGTTTGGATGGAAATCTTTGTTCCTATCAGGCAGGGTCGTGCAAGAGCAACAAACATAAGTTTATTATCCCATTGGTTGCATCTATAACAACATTTGTTGCAGTGGTCATCATAATAGCTATCATAGTTGTGGTGATCCGGAGACTTAGAAAAAATGGTAAAGGTAATCCATAGAATTTTTTTTTATGTTACATGTCTAGCTTACAAGTATTATTAATTTACATACTCAAATATTATTGTCCTTCCTTTTGAGTCTTTTGGAACTAAAGCGTGGAATGTGATTGTTGTTATTTACATTATTGGTCCAGTGATTTCTTCAATTTCTGTGAAAGATGAGTCACTGAAATCGACAAACCAAGTATTTTCTTACTCGGAGATCCTTAGAATCACTAATAATTTCACAACAATGATTGGAAAAGGTGGATTTGGTAAGGTTTACCTAGGTACATTAGAGTGTGGCAAAATTGTTGCCGTGAAGACACTTTCTTTGCCATCAACACAAGGGTATAAGGAGTTTCAATCAGAGGTAATTAAATGTAACAATCACATTAATTATCTCTTTTATGTTATATAGCTCATAAAAATGTCTATATACTAAACATAGTTTTTCCTAAAGCAGGCAAAATTGTTAATGCATGTTCATCATAGAAACGTGGTTTCTCTTGTTGGATATTGTGATGAAGGTGAAACTAAAGCACTTGTTTATGAATATCTATCAGAAGGGAATCTCCAGCAAAAATTATCAGGTTTCTGCTTTGTTCCAAAGTTTTCCACTTCACTCGCTGATGGCAAGTGTATTCAAAATAGATGAAAATCAACTTCAGAATGATCACTACTCAGTACTCATTAGTTCCTTTCACTTTCCTCATGATGACAAAATAACAAAGACAATTAATACATCTTATTATGTTTCTTTTATATCTACTGCATGATTCCTAGTTTTTTCATTGTGCTCACATTTGAAAGCAAAAAACTATGTTTCCTGATAAGAAAGGCATTTTAAAATTTCAGCTAAAGTGAATATCAAAGAAAACTAATAGAACCTTTTGTTGCATCTCCACCTGCTAAATTATAATTGTATTTTTTAGAGTAGTGAATGTGTTGTGTGACCAAGATCATAAACAAACCCCTTCATTTTAGAGAATAGAAAACCATATCATTTTCCACCATACACATGCTTATATTGAATACAATGATAATACGCTCAATGCATGCTAATTTTCTTGCACAATACTATATGATCTTTCTTATAAGACCCTTTTGAATATATTAATTTCTTTTGCAGATAAAAATCCAAACTTTTTGGAATGGATCCAAAGACTTAAAATTGCTATGGATGCAGCAAATGGTACACGAATAACATACTAATTTCATGGATGTTCTATATTTATTGTGTTATCTTATTACCAATTACAATAGCTATTGTAGTATACAAATTTGTGACTGATCATTGGAAATACAGGATTGGACTATTTACATAATGGATGTCAGCCACCTGTAATTCACAGAGACTTAAAAACATCCAACATCTTACTAGACGAAAATATGCATGCCAAGATATCAGACTTTGGAGTGTCTAAAACTTTTGCAAACGACACTGACACTTATGTCACAACTTACCCAGCAGGCACACCGGGTTACGTTGATCCTGAGTAAGTAATATTCAAAATTTTGCTTCTTAAGTTCTAGAGTATGATGATTTAGTGGAATCGAAGGTCTAATTATGATGAAATTGAAAATGGTTAGTGTAGAATTTGAAATTAAAAATACTATCTATGATATTTGTTTATAAGATATTTTTAGAAAGTTTACCTCATTAGACTAGTCCATCTATTCAAATTGGCACATAATGGACAAACACATTTTTGGGTCGGGTAAGGTTGGCGCTAATTTGACATCCGATTAAAATCATAAACCTTAAACTAAAATCCTTAGCGGGTTGTGGTGAACTAATCGGGTCGGTCTATGGGCCAACTATATATTTTTAAAATACAAAAATTAAAAGTATAAGAAAGTTAATTTTTTTATAGTATATTAATAAAATGTTTTTATAATCACTATAAACTAAAATAAAAAAAATATAGATCGTTAATTATACTATAAAATATTAAAATGGAGTATATAATAATAGAATGGTATACATATAAAATAATATATGTATAAAATATTAACCTTAAAATAGGGGACCAGATGAAAATAATAATAATAATAATAAATAAATAAATAAACTTGGCTGACATGCTAGTGAAAATTAAGGTAGGCTAAGTAAAAATTAGGTAAATATTATATACATATATCTTTTCTAATAAACACGTCATCCTTCTCAACTTTTATTTTTTTTATAATTATTTTCTTAAATATAGTTTTAATTTATTTTTCTAAAACAAAATTTATTTTTAAAAATTATCTTTTTCATTCATCCCTCTTCCTTCACTCCTTTTCTTTTGTTACTTATCCATCTTTAACTCTAACCATATGATTCATACATCTCTCATCTTCTTCTTTAATTTATTTTCTTTTTTAATCTTTTTCCTTCAACAATCAAGACACTCAAATACTCATCTTTATTATTTTATAAATCTTATTTTTTACTCTATCTTTAATATTACATATATTAGATATGACTCGTTGATTTTATGATAAATTATTGATTAAAAATAATATATTTTTATTATTACTATTTTGAAATTATGCCTCTCGATTTTTCAAATATACTTTCAAAAAATATTTTTTGGAAGAATAACAAAATATTTCTCTCCTGAAAAGTTCTTTTAGAAAGTACTTTTTTCCTCTTCTAGAAAGTGTTTTTCGAAAATATATTTTCACTCTTCCGGATTGCTTAAATATACTTCAGGAAAATGTTTTTAGAAACAAAAAAAAAAAAAGACTTTTAGAGAGTACTTCCTGAAGTTTAAAAAATACTATCAAAAATACTTTTTAAAAGCATTTTTTTTTCTTTCAAAATTCAAAAAAGGTATTTTTTTAGTCAATGGACATGATCCATATAATGTCTCAAAGTTAATAATCAAGGACTAATTTGTGCTTGTGGGACATGATTTTTATTGGACAAACATTATTTTAACTCAGACAAGAATCAAATTTGGAAGTACTAGGTGGACCTCCCACATTCCAAGACAAGCCTTAAAACCATAGGGTTAAGATGCTTGGTTGAAAAAGAAAGGTGTTTAAGAAATAAATAATGAAAAATTGATAAAATGTGGTGTATTATTAATTAATGGAGATAAATTTAAAAAATCATGAAATTATCCCAAATCTAAATTTTCATGGACCAACTTAATCTATTTGTTGGGCTAGTCAGATATGACATATTTTGATTAGGGATGTCAATAGGCGAGACGAGATGAGACAAATACGGGTAATAGTTTCTCGCTGCCTATTCTGTCAAATAAATATTTGTCTCGTACCTATTTTTATATCTGTGTGAATATCCATTAAGTGAGTATGCCTATTTTTACTATCCAACCAAAATCATGAAAACTAAATACTAGTTAGCAAGTTGTCTAGTACTAGTTGTTTTTTTTTTTTTTTCTAAATAAAAAAATATTTTTTTTCAGTGAAGATGGAATCTCTTTAGTTTCAAGGATAATTTTAGAAAAATATCACATAAATTGTTGACACATTTTAATACGATTAACTAAATTCTTTAAATTTTGTGAAGTGGTTAAAAGGGTCTATTATACACTATATATCAGAGTGGTAGTAAGTAGCAATCAATGGAAAAATCTACTAAAACTCTCAACTTAATCTTTAACAGGTCTAATAACGACATTAAAGTAGTTACAATCATATATGCTTTTGATAACTATAGTAATATGATGTCACTCTATATATGTAATATAGTGTCCTAAATCTTAGGATTATTTCAAGGTGAATGGAATACAGAAGGGCATGCATTAAGGAATATTTTACCGCACAACTAAAAGATTTTACAAATGTTGTATAGAGGATAAACATAACATGGATGAGAATTGATTTGGATAAGTATACATATTAGATAAGATAGTACTTAAAATGAATGTATTAAATAAAGTTGAGATAATATCTATTATAAAAAGAAATGGTAGAATCTTACTGTAAGTGATTTGGGTTTGGATAGAGACGACGTATGCAAATAGAAAGTAGCCTATCAAATGAGGCAGAGGAAGATTGAGAAAAACTACAAGTAAAATGATTAAGGAAGATTTCTATGTGAATAATTTATTTAATATTTATACGCATGATTTATAATAATAAGGGAAAGATGATTGTGCTGTATAATAATATTACTGCATGGCAACCAAATATTGGAGCCATATGCTTTATTGTTTGCCCTTATTCTGGATCGAATCTTCAATATCAAATATCATACCGGTCAGGGTCAGTGCTACCGCCCAGGCCCATGACTAAAAGATCCATTTTTTTTAAATTTATTTATTTTATATATATATATATAAATAATTATGAGATAATTTTTATATTATCTTTAAAAATAAAATTATACTTAAATATGTTTTTAATATTTATAAAATGAATATATTTTAATTTTAATTTTAATTTTTTTTTCTTATCATTCTAAGTAAACATTATTTTTTGTTCATATATTTTAAAAATTTATAAATTTTTTTAGAGATGTGACACATTGATACCGTAAGTGTTGATGTTAGTTATCAACAATCACTTTTTAAGAATAACTAATTCATTATATGGTGGTCGTGCTTTTTGCTAGAATGAACAATATACCATTAATTTTGTCTTGAACCTAAAATAATAAAATTATTTAAATAACCTTTAAAAGTATTGAATATATATCGATTTACTCTTCACTCGATGTATTCTAGTAAAGTTTAAAGTTCAACTTGAAGAGGTTTTGAGTTCTCAATCTATTTTGCATGATTTTTAATATTGACAAATCACTTAAATAATTTGTTTTACTTTAAGGACTACTTAGAAAAAAAAAAGTATAATACTTTAAAAAAAAGAAATTAACGAAGACAATTATTATTACGTTGGATAAAACTAAAAATTTGTTTAGATAAAATTCATCATAAATACTTATAAGAGAGAAAAAATAAGAACAAATGAAAAAAGTTTTTTTTTTTTTTTTTTTTTTTATAGAACTAGTTTATGCATAACATAAAATTGAGTGTTTTTGTATAAACTAATATGTGAGAACTTTTATCGATTAACTTATGTTAATTTTAAAATTTTAATTTATATAAAAATTTATATTAATAATCATATTTATTATAATAAAATTATCATATTAATGTAACAATCATTCTATAGTGACATGATACATATTATTAAAAATTATTTTTGCTCACACAATAAATATAATATATATTGATATATTGTTAAAAAGTGTAAATATAAATTATAGTGACATACAAAATATATTGTTAAGTCACATTTAAAATCTATGTTAAAATTATGTATAATTATATGTCAAATAAATATATATCTATATATTATACTTATAATAATACTTTTTATATGTGATTATATTTAATGTTTATTTTACTATTGTGACTAATCTCTTGATCCCTCTACAGATTTTATTGCTCTGGAACCCTGAATAGAAAGAGTGATGTTTATAGTTTTGGTATAATTCTACTTGAGCTAATTACTGGTCAACCAGCTCTAAGAGGAACTCCAGACAATCTCAGTTACATACTTCCTTGTGTTAACAATAAACTCAGAACAGGAAATATCCAAGAAATAGTCGACCCAAGGTTGAAAGGGAACTACAATGCTGCATCAGCATGGAAGTTTATAGGGATAGCCATGTCTTGTCTTCCCCAAGTTCCAATTCACAGGCCTGACATTGGCCACGTAGCCTCAGAGTTAAAGGAGTGTTTGTCTCTCGAATTGTCACTAGAAAGGACTGTGAGCAATGTGAGGGATTCATTGGTCATGAATTCTAGACAGATTGAATTCCTTAATTAAGGATTAAAAGTGTAAAACTTAGATACAATATCATGCTACTGGTGATATTATTCTGAGCAGAATTGATGTTTTATTTTAATAGTACACATTAATATTTAATAAAAAATTTATTATGTATATTATCATCGTAAAACCTAATTTTGAAACTTTCTCTGAACTTATATATAAAGTTAATCGCACTTATAATAGGCATATAAAGTTTTATCCATTAGTTACTCTTTGGTGGGTCCAAATTCAAGGTTGATTTGATTCTAAAAAATTGTATGTGTGTTTGCTTTATAGTAATAATTGGACCTTGTTTAAGCTAAGGATGTTCAACGGTCAAATAAAGGTGAACCCATGTTGAAATATTTTGTTTTATGCACTTTTTCTTTTTATAATATGCCATACCACTATATTATATTGATGAAATAAACCACTTTAATTTCCATACAATGATGCAAACTTTTAGGAATTATGTGCTGAGAGCTCAAATTTTGTTTGAGGCAATTAAAATTATCTATTTTTTAAATTAAAAATTTTATTTTTTCATCAATTTTCTCTTTTATTTTAAATTTCCACATTATTATTTTTCTACTCTCCAATATTTGGGCTGGAGATGATATAATTTTTTAAGTTTAAAAAACTTCATAAAAATTGGACGAAACGTTAACTAGCTAGGGTTTGAAAAGAGAATAAGATTTCTTTTATCTTGGGGGGGGGGGGGGGGGATTTTTGGTGTTTTGGTAATT